ACACGGAGCTGGTGGTGGAGGTGGAGTGGAGTGTGTGTGTGTGTGTGTGTGTGTGTGTGTGTGTGTGTGTGTGTGTGTGTGTGTGTGTGTACCGGAGCTGGACACGGAGCTGGTGGTGGAGGTGGAGTGGGAGTGTGTGTGTGTGTGTGTGTGTGTGTGTGTGTGTGTGTGTGTGTGTGTGTGTACCGGAGCTGGACACGGAGCTGGTGGTGGAGGTGGAGTGGGAGTGTGTGTGTGTGTGTGTGTGTGTGTGTGTGTGTGTGTGTGTGTGTGTACCGGAGCTGGACACGGAGCTGGTGGTGGAGGTGGAGTGGAGTGTGGTGTGTGTGTGTGTGTGTGTGTGTGTGTGTGTGTGTGTGTGTACCGGAGCTGGACACGGAGCTGGTGTGGAGGTGGAGTGGGAGTGTGTGTTGTGTGTGTGTGTGTGTGTGTGTGTGTACCGGAGCTGGACACGGAGCTGGTGGTGGAGGTGGAGTGGTGTGTGTGTGTGTGTGTGTGTGTGTGTGTGTGTGTGTACCGGAGCTGGACACGGAGCTGGTGGTGGAGGTGGAGTGGGAGTGTGTGTGTGTGTGTGTGTGTGTGTGTGTGTGTGTGTGTACCGGAGCTGGACACGGAGCTGGTGGTGGAGGTGGAGTGGGAGTGGTCCATGGCAGGAGAGGTGGAAGTGGAGGAGCTCGTGTTGGTTCCTTCGTCTGTGGTTTTCTTGAAGAAGTTGTGTTGAAGAGCGTAGAAAGGTGTGATGCGGCTTTTGGGGTCGTAGTCGAGCATACGCAGGATCAGGTCTGAACACACAGCAGAGAAAACACAATCACACACACAAACACACACATAAACAAACACACACACGTGTGGATCACGTCACACGGGTCTGACCTTTGAACTTGAGATAGTCACATGGGGCGTGGCCAGGCTCTCCTGCCCTGCGGCCCCCGGGGCCCCCGGTCTCTACGCCTAAAATCTCATGAAGGCGTCGCGTGGCTGGAGGTTTGTACTCCTGAAAAACACACACACACACGTAAGAGCAGGATCACACACACACCCAAACACACACTCAAACACACACACACACACACACAAACACACACTCAAAACACACACACACAGACACACACACACACAGACACACACACACACACACACACACACACACACACAGACACACACACACCAAACACACACACACACACACACACACACACACACACAGACACACACACACAGACACACACACACGTAAGAGCAGGATCACACACACACCCAAACACACACTCACACACACACACACACACACTCAAACACACACACTCAAACACACACACACACACACACTCAAACACACACACACACACACTCAAACACACACACACACACACACACACACACACACACACACACACACACACACACACACACACACACTCAAACACACACACACACACGTAAGAGCAGGATCACACACACACCCAAACACACACTCAAACACACACTCACAAACACACACACACACACAGACACACACAGACACACACACACACACACACTCAAACACACGCTCACAAACACACACACAGACACACACACACACACACACACACAGACACACACACACACAGACACACACCCAAACACACACTCAAACACACACACAAACACACACACAGACACACACACAGACACAGACACACACAGACACACACACACACGTAAGAGCAGGATCACACACACACACACCCAAACACACACACTCAAACACACACACAGACAAACACACACACAAACACACAAACACACAAACACACAAACACACACACAGACACACACAAAGACACACAGACACACACACACCCAAACACACACTCAAACACACACACACACATAGACACACACAGACACACACACACACACAGACACACACACACACACACACAGACACACACACACACACACAGACACACACACACACACAGACACACACACACACACACACACACACAGGGCTGTAGGAGCAGGTTTTCTCTCTCCACTTTTACCTTCTTTATGTCTTTGTTCTTCTTCACAGTCCACAGTCCGTCCGACAGTTTGTCAAAATACTTTCGGGCTTTGGGAGCTGCGTCGAGCATGTGACTGGGAGGAACCCCCAGAACCTCCACTATCTTATTCATCTGGTCGACCTGCACACAACACCAGGTCACACACCACACCCACAGAGAGTACTACAGAGAGTACTACAGAGAGTACTACAGAGAGCACAGTACAGAGAGTACTACAGAGAGCACAGTACAGAGAGTACTACAGAGAGCACAGTACAGAGAGTACTACAGAGAGTACTACAGAGAGTACTACAGAGAGTACTACAGAGAGTACACTACAGAGAGTACACTACAGAGAGTACTACAGAGAGTACTACAGAGAGTACTACAGAGAGTACTACAGAGAGTACACTACAGAGAGTACTACAGAGAGTACTACAGAGAGCACACTACAGAGAGTACACTACAGAGAGTAGTACAGAGAGTACACTACAGAGAGTACACTACAGAGAGTACACTACAGAGTACACTACAGAGTATACTACAGAGAGTACTACAGAGAGTACACTACAGAGAGTAGTACAGAGAGTACACTACAGAGAGTACACTACAGAGAGTACACTACAGAGTACACTACAGAGTATACTACAGAGAGTACTACAGAGAGTACACTACAGAGAGTACTACAGAGAGCACACTACAGAGAGTACACTACAGAGAGTACTACAGAGAGTACTACAGAGGGTACTACAGAGAGTACTACAGAGAGTACTACAGAGAGTACTACAGAGAGTACACTACAGAGAGTACTACAGAGAGTACTACAGAGAGTACACTACAGAGAGTACATACTTGTATATAAAGAGTATTTACCTCATTGGAGCCGCTGAACAGAGGTTCGCCCGTGTGCATCTCCACCAGGATGCAGCCCAGAGACCACATGTCGATGGCCAGGTCGTACGGCATGCCCAGCAGCACCTCCGGAGAGCGGTAGAAACGACTCTGAATGTACTGGTAGATCTGTGGGCACAGGACGAGGGCACGTGAGGAGGGTACAGGAGGAGGGCAGATGGGGGCAGAGGAGGAGGGCAGAGGGGGGCACGTGAGGAGGGCACAGGAGGGCAGAGGGGGCACAGAGGAGGGCAGAGGGGGCACATGAGGAGGGCAGAGGGGGGCACATGAGGAGGGCAGAGGGGGGCACGTGAGGAGGGCACAGGAGGGCAGAGGAGGGCAGAGGGGGCAGAGGAGGGCACATGAGGAGGTACAGGAGGGCAGATGGGGCACATGAGGAGGGCAGAGGGGGCACGTGAGGAGGGTACAGGAGGGCAGAGGGGGCACATGAGGAGGGCAGAGGGGGCACGTGAGGAGGGTACAGGAGGGCAGAGGGGGCACAGGAGGAGGGCAGAGGGCAGCAGGAGGGCAGAGGGGGGCAGAGGGGCACATGAGGAGGCAGGAGGGCAGAGGGGGGCACGTGAGGAGGGCACAGAGGGCAGAGGGGCATGTGAGGAGGGCACAGGAGGGGCAGAGGGGGCAGAGGGGGGCAGAGGGCCACGTGAGGAGGGGGCAGGAGGGGGGCAGAGGGGCAGTGAGGAGGGCACAGGAGGGCAGGGGGGGCAGAGGAGGGCAGAGGGGGGCAGAGGGGGGCATGTGAGCACAGGGAGATCCAGCTCAGAGACAAGCACTAAAGCATGAACACTCGGGTCATGCCACAGTGCACTGAGTCAGGTTAGGTCTCGGGGTGCATTAGTGTGACGGGTGCAGGGGGTTTAGGGTTCAGGGTTTAGGGTTCTGGGCGCTCTTACCCTCTGTCCCAGCTGGCACGACGAGCCGAAGTCCACGATCTTGATGGCGGATCTCTTGGGGTTACACAGCAGGATGTTCTCCGGTTTCAGGTCGCAGTGGATGATTGACAGCTCAGGCGTGGCTAAGAATAACAACGCTGGAAGAGACGAGAACAGCGGCTCGTTAAAGACCGACTAACTCCACAGCAACTTCTGTTCCACAAGACTCCACATTCAGTGTCTGAAAGACTTTGCCCACTGGTCTTAGGGGTTTTATTTGGCAATTTTCGGGCAAACTCAGTATATTTTTCTGGTTTCTGGAGTGAGAGGCGACGGTTTCTGCTCAAAATCAGACTGTTCTTATATCTCCAGACCCCACACCTCCTCATCCTCATCCTCACTCTCCCCTTTAGACCTCCAAACCCCACACCTCCTCATCCTCACTCCTCCCTTTAGTTCTCCAGACCCCGCACCTTTTCATCCTCACTTTTCCCTTTAGTCCTCAAACCCCACACCTCCTCATACTCACTCTCCCTTTAGTCCTCCAGATTCCACACCTCCTCCTCATCCTCACTCTCCCCTTTTAGTCCTCCAGATCCCGCACCTTTTCATCCTCACTTTTCCCTTTAGTCCTCTAGGTTCCGCACCTCCTCATCCTCACTCTCCCCTTTGGTCCCCCAGTCGAAGCACCTCCTCATCGTCACTCTCTGGGACTCAGTGGTATTGTAACTGTTTTGTTTTCTTTTTTTTTTGACCCCGTGGCAGAGTAATAGCTGCTCCTGTGGGGTTGTGTGTGTCCGGTCCAGCAGGGGGCGCTGTTGTGTGGTTGTGTGTGTCCGGTCCAGCAGGGGGCGCTGTTGTGTGGTTGTGTGTGTCCGGTCCAGCAGGGGGCGCTGTCACTCACCTGTGCAGAGCTGCTGTGCAAACTTCCGTGTGAGGTTCAGGGACACTCCTCTGAAGTTGGTGTTCCGTAATAAATCATACAGGTTGTAGCTCAACAGCTCAAAAACCAAACACAAATGATTCCTAAACATAAAGTGACGCTTCAGGTGGACTGCACAGGAGAAAGAGAAAAGAGAAAAAGGAAAAGAGAGAAGAGTCAAAACATTATTCAAAAAAATAACATAATTAATGAAAACATATTCTAAAGAAATATTTAAAGTTCTTATATCGCACAAAACTGACTCTTGTGAGATTTAAGTCATGTTCTAATGTTGTTCCTCCTCAAAAACAGACCTGGAGTTGTGTTTTGTTTCATTCACACACGTTTTAGTCGCTCCAAACGCTCTGTGCCACCTTGTGATGTCATAAAGTGGTCATTTTTTCAAGTAGTTTTCAGCTTCTTTTACCTTCAGTTCAGTAAAGTTTGGCAATTCCAGGACTGAAATGATCCAAATGATTCTAGTGAAGGTGTGTGGAGTTTAAAAACACAGTGGAGCACTTCCTTCCTGTATCACCACATGATGACATCACAAGGTGGTGCAGAGTGTTTACAGTCTGAGAGAAGAACTCAGCCTCACAACACTGTAAAAAAGCTTGGCCAAAATTTCAGATATAAACACTTAAATTTATCAGAAAATAACTTAAAAGTTGTGAAATTATTTGTCCATTTTACTGGACAAGTTTATCTTAAAATAATTGACCTCTAGACGAGAATAAAGCGTCTGTGGTCAGTGTTTATGAGCTGGAAATGAATTTATGGAGATAAACAGACTCGAGTATCAAGCAAATCTGTATCACTGAATCTAAAAACAAGTGAAGTGTTACTGAGGAAAACTCTGGTAAAAAGGATTGTAGCTTCATTTAAACATTTATTATTAAAAATTTGTATTAAATTTAAGATTTTCTGACTAGTTAAGTCTAGTTTTTAAGATTATATAACCAATTCAGAATGAGTAAGTCGATAATAAATCGGAAAACAACATGAATAACCCAATAGAAGTTTAAAAATCTTGGCCAAAACAGAGAAATTTGCAGTAAACTCCAGGTCTGTTTGTGAGGAGGAATACACTGGTCAGTCTTCTACAGAGTCCGCTCCAGGTTTTGTCTCTACACTAGACTCCGATCCAGGTTTTGTCTAATATACACTGGTCAGTCGTCCAGAGAATCCGCTCCAGGTTTTGTCTCTACACTGGTCAGTCTTCTACAGAGTCTGCTCCAGGTTTTGTCTCTACACTAGACTCCACACCGGGTTTTGTCTATTATATACTGGTCAGTCATTCAAAAAGTCCGCTCCAGGTTTTGTCTCTACACTGGTCAGTCGTCCAGAAAATCCGCTCCAGGTTTTGTCCCTACACTAGTCAGTCATTCAAAAAGTCCGGTCCAGGTTTTGTCTCTACACTAGTGAGTCGTCCACAGAATCCGCTCCAGGTTTTGTCTCTGTACTTGTCAGTCATCCACAGACTCCGGTCCGGTTCCGTGTCTTACCGATGTAATATTTCATCTCGGTATCGTGCTTGTTCATCAGCTCCAGCAGCCGCAGCTCGATCTGGGCCTGGTTCAGAAAAGCCTTTTTGTTCTTGATAATCTTGATGGCGACCCACTCCTGCTCGTGGTGGTCGTACGCCTTCACCACCTGAAACACACGCACACGTTTGGTCAGAGCGCCCTCCACTGGGGACTCCCTCAAACATCACCATTTCATCCTGGGGTGAGACTTAAGAGTTTATTGCAACCGTGAATACTAGAGTGGGGTATGATTAACACAACACATACCTCAGTACAGTTCAATGAAAAACTGTAAATCATGGCCGAGACACTAAAAGTCCACTTTTAGTTTGTCAAGTTTGTGCAAAGTTAATATGAAAAACTAGGGGTGTATCGATATCCAGGTCTCACGATACGATATTTATTGTGATATTGTGTGAAATCTCATGATATGGTGGAGAGGCTCATGATTAGAGACGTAACGATATCCAAATCTCTCTGTACAATATTTCATGATAAGAATCTCACAGTACGATATTTGTTGTGATATTTTGTGGAGACTAAACAGATAAAACTGTGAATATTCTACTTTTTCCTCTAAAAATGCCTCGACAAGACTTAATCCAAAGAACTAAGACTTAAAAGTGTCAGAACTGTTATTTCTTCTTGTAGTCTACACTAAAATGGAGCAAAGGATCATGGTCTATGTAGTTCCATCTGTGTTTTTTTTCGCTACATTGATATGATGTCGGTCTGAACAGAAGACACAAAAGTGACGTTGCGTCTTCACTTTTTATTCCACGTTTAGTGGAGTGTTTTCAGGATTAAATCTGATGCAGACGGTGACGCAAAAGTGTGTGGAGTTCACCATCCACAGGTTCTCCAGGTCTCGTCCATATCCGCCTGAGACGACCTGGTGCATCCAGAGTCTGACAGAGGTGACTGCAGGTCCTTCTCTGTTCACTAATAGTGTCTCTGCAGATTCTCCACATTTGTTGTTTTGCCTCCTGTGAGTTTGTTAGAGCTGCCAGAGCAGCTTGAAGCTCCAATGCACGGAAATGATCCACATGTTTGTTTGTGTGTTTTCTGTGACGTAAACTCGTACACGACCTGAGCACATGTGACCAGAGTTTTGTGTCTTGTTCAGTGTCGACAGAAACACTACGACGGAGCCTATTCAACCTTTACACACTGGAGGTGGTTTCAGATTTTTGTGTTTTTAAGCCCCAAAAAACGTCTAAACGAAAGACACTTCTCATAAAACATTATGTCGTTTTTACCCACAAATGTTCTCATGTAAACAGGCCCTAAGTGTGACATCTCCACAGCGTTCAGCTTCAGTCCTCACCTGTCCGAAAGAGCCCTTCCCGATGAGAGAGTCGATCTCGTAGCGGTCCAGCCACTTCTCGCCGTTCTTCACGATGTAGTCGTAGTTGTCGTCATCGTATCCGTCGTTGTAGACTTTCCTCTCCTTCTTGGTGCTGCTGTCCTCCGGGGGCACCTGCTGAGCCCGCCGCTTCTTCTTAGTGTAGTACACCTGAGGAGAGACCAGAACCTGTCACCTGCTGGAGGGAGGGAGCTGTGACCTGCTGGAGAACGTGTGACCTGCTGGAGGAGGAGGAGGAGGGGCGTGTGGGGTATGGGTGGGGCATGGGTGGGGCTTGGGTGGGGTATGGGTGGGGCTTGGGTGGGGTATGGGTGGGTATGGGTGGGGTATGGGTGGGGCTTGGGTGGGGTATGGGTGGGGTATGGGTGGGGCTGGGTGGGGCATGGGTGGGTATGGGTGGGGTATGGGTGGGGTATGGGGGGTATGGGTGGGGCTTGGGTGGGGTATGGGTGGGGTATGGGTGGGGCATGGGTGGGGTGGGTGGGGTATGGGTGGGGTATGGGTGGTATGGGTGGGGCTTGGGTGGGTATGGGTGGGGTATGGGTGGGGTATGGGTGGGGCATGGGTGGGGGGTGGGGTATGGGTGGGGTAGGGTGGGTGGGCATGGGTGGGGTATGGGTGGGGCTTGGGTGGGCATGGGTGGGGCATGGGTGGGGCGTTGTGTCGGAGGAGGGTCTTACCTCATTTATGTGCTTGTAGGTCTTGATGAGGTCCACAGACAGTTTGCGGAGCGGCGCACTGGCAGGGTCTCTGAAACTGGGGGGTATCCTCCGCTGCAGAATGGTCATATCAGACAGCACCTGTCAACACCAACGCAGAAGCACGTCACAAAACAAGAACTACACCTAAACTACACCTGAACTACACCTAAACTACAACCGAACTACACCTGAAACTACACCTGAACGACACCTGTCAACACCAACGCAGAAGCACGTCACAAAACAAGAACTACACCCGAACTACACCTGAACTACAACTGAACTACAAACGAACTACAACCGAACTACACCTAAACTACACCTAAACTACACCTGAACGACACCTGAACTACAACCGAACTACAACCGAACTACACCTAAACTACACCTGAACTACACCTAAACTACACCTGAACGACACCTGTCAACACCAACGCAGAAGCACAGAAGCACGTCACAAAACAAGAACTACAACTGAACTACAACTGAACTACACCTGAACTACACCACAACTACACCTGAACTACAACGGAACTACACCAGAACTACAACGGAACTACACCAGAACTACAACGAAACTACACCAGAACTACAACGGAACTACACCTGAACTACAACGGAACTACACCAGAACTACACAAAAAAAACAACAACAGAGCTACACAATGTTAATCATAAGTTTATTTAAGCAGAGGTTTATTTTTTGTATTATTTTGTGTCTATTGTGTATTTTGACCTCCTATGTTAAAAAGTTTGTTTGTTTTTGTTTGTCCCAGTTTCATAAATCCTCAGTAAAATTCTCAGTTTTGATCTGAACTCAGACTCTCTGTGTCTGTGGATTCTTTTATATTTGAGTCGTTTTTAAAGGTGGAACATGTTGCACAAAGCGTCAACTCTGGCTCCACATAAGTTTGGATCTTATAGTACTTGTGGTATCAGAGACCACGGACTCGTCACAGCGTCAGGACGGAGCTGACGGGACCTGAGCTTCAGACTCAAACACCTCATGAAAACACCACAAGAAAAAACTGAACAGAACAACAGAGACGAGGAGAGGAGGTGTGGTAGTGCGCTGGCTCCGCGGCCCGGCTCCGCGGCCCGGACATTAAACTCGAGAAGTGAAGCCACGTGAGGAAGTGGAGCAGGAGTCAGAAGTGAGAGGACGAGTCTGGGAGTCATGGCCACAACATCTTCTATAATTAGTCGATTAATTGTTGGTGCAATAAATAAAACTGGATTTGTCACTGAGGACCAGGCTGACCCCAGTGTGAGTGTGTGTCAGGGTGTGTGTGTGTCAGGGTGTATATGTGTGCGTGTGTGTGTGCGCGGTCCTTCCACAGCTGAGAATGGCTGCAGGTCTTGAGCCAGAGCACATGGTCCAGAGGAAAACCTTCCACAGCTTCATTCAGACTCTAAATTTAGATTTAGAAGAACCGAGTGAAACAAAAGTGCAGCTTCCCAAAACTCTGAACCAACTGTGTATTTATATACTTTATATACTCTTTATTTACTTTATTTACTCTTTATACTTTATAAACACTTTATTTACTCTTTGTACTTTATATTCTCTTTATACTGTATTTACTCTTCCTGTTTAGTTCTGGCTTTAGACCTGATTTAGAAATAAAGAGAGTTTTATTATTTTTCTGATATCGGTATCAGTATTAAGTATCGAGATTGTTCCTAAATATCGAAATTGAGTTTGAAATGTTTGTATCATGACAACAACTTTATTTACGCTTTATTTACGCTTTATTTACTCTTTATTTCAGTTCAAATCTGATGAAATATCTGATTTCCTGCTGTGAATGTTACTTTCACTTTTCACTTTTATAAAAATTAAAAATGTGTTTATCCTGGATCTAAATCTTGTTCAGAGATCAGGGGGCGGAGCTACAAAAATATTGGCGTTGAACCTAAGTATCGATATCGGTCGATACCAGAACCGATACATCCCCGTCCTTAAACAGTTTTATGTGACCAATAATTCAAACGATTCTCTTTTATCGTTTACAGTGACTCAAGAAAACTAAAGACACTGAACTGAACTTTCAGCGTCTTCACTTCGTTGGTTGTGACTTTCACTCTCTCAGAGTTATTTCTGTGTCTTTGTTCTTTTGTTATATTTAATGATACTTTAGTTGGATTTATATGACACATGTTCATATTGTAAAATTATTGTGTGTATAATTACAGAACAGAACTCTGTCTCTTCAAACAAACTCTGGTCGTCTCTCAGACTCTGAGTGTTTAACTCTGAGTGTTTAACTCTGAGTGTTTAACTCTGAGTGTGTTAAACATGTGTCTGTTTGTTCATCATAAACTGATTTACTCCAGGTCCAGAGTCGTGTTTGATGCTCAGTGAAGCTCAGGTGTTTTTGGAGAAGGTTTTGTGAGTTTGGGTTTGGAGGAGGAACATGAGACTTTTTTAACCATTTAAAGTGTTAAAAGTTTGAATTATTTATGTTGAATAAATAAATAATAAATAAATAAATGTCAGTGTGATTCTGTCACAAGAGTCTCAAAGAGAAACTCACCAACCAGAGATGAACCCTGTTCTGTCCAAACTTTAATCCCTAAACCCTAAACCCTAAACTCTAAACTCTAAACTCTAGACTCTAGACTCTAGACTCTAGACTCTAGACTCTAGACTCTAGACTCTAAACCTAAACTCTAAACCCTAAACTCTAGACTCTAGACTCTAGACTCTAGACTCTAGAGCCTGGAAGCACTTTTACACTTTTAACATGATCTCAATACAAAGTGAACTGGAGTTGACGTTGATGGAAGAGGAAGTGCTCCTGTGCTCACTTCCTGTTTGGGCCACAGCAGTGAGTGGGTTAGATGTGTCCACATGTGTGTCGTGTGTGTTGTTGTTGTGTGTCGTGTGTGTTGTTGTGTGTCGTGTGTGTGTTGTTGTGTGTCGTGTGTGTTCGTGTGTGTCGTGTGTGTTGTGTGTGTGTGTGTGTGTGTCGTGTGTGTGTCGTGTGTGTTGTTGTGTGTCGTGTGTGTTGTTGTGTGTTGTGTTGTGTGTCGTGTGTGTTGTGTGTGTGTGTTGTCGTGTGTGTTGTGTGTTGTTGTTGTGTGTGTGTGTGTGTGTGTGTGTTGTGTGTGTCGTGTGTGTGTGTGTGTGTGTGTTGTGTGTTGTGTGTGTCGTGTGTGTTGTTGTGTGTTGTGTGTGTGTCGTGTGTGTGTTGTGTGTGTTGTTGTGTGTCGTGTGTGTTGTTGTGTGTTGTCGTGTGTCGTGTGTGTCGTGTGTGTTGTTGTGTGTTGTTGTGTGTTGTTGTGTGTCGTGTGTGTCGTGTGTGTTGTTGTGTGTTGTTGTGTGTCGTTGTGCGTCTGACCTGCTGCTGCTCGGCCATGGAGTGGATGGAGCTGAAGGAGGGGTGTGGGTGTGTGTGTGTGTAGTTGTGTGTTGTTGTGTGTCGTGTGTGTTGTTGTGTGTCGTGTGTGTGTCGTGTGTGTCGTGTGTGTTGTTGTGTGTTGTTGTGTGTTGTGTGTGGTGTGTGTTGTTGTGTGTTGTTGTGTGTCGTGTGTGTCGTGTGTGTTGTTGTGTGTCGTGTGTGTCGTGTGTGTTGTTGTGTGTCGTGTGTTTGTTGTGTGTCGTGTGTGTGTGTGTGTGTGTTGTGTGTGTCGTTGTGCGTCTGACCTGCTGCTGCTCGGCCATGGAGTGGATGGAGCTGAAGGAGGGGTGTGGGTGTGTGTTGTTGTGTGTTGTTGTGTGTTGTTGTGTGTCGTGTGTGTGTTGTTGTGTGTTGTTGTGTGTTGTTGTGTGTCGTGTGTGTCGTGTGTGTTGTTGTGTGTCGTGTTGTGTGTTGTTGTGTGTTGTTGTGTGTCGTGTGTGTCGTGTGTGTTTGTGTGTGTTGTTGTGCGTCTGACCTGCTGCTGCTCGGCCATGGAGTGGATGGAGCTGAAGGAGGGGTGTGGGTGTGTGTTGTTGTGTGTAGTTGTGTGTGGTTGTGTGTCGTGTGTGTGTGTCGTGTGTGTCGTGTGTGTGTTGTGTGTTGTTGTGTGTTGTGTGTGTGTGTGTTGTGTGTGTGTTGTGTGTCGTGTGTGTGTGTGTGTGTGTGTGTCGTGTGTGTTGTTGTGTGTGTGTGTGTCGTGTGTGTTGTCGTGTGTCGTGTGTGTGTCGTGTGTTGTTGTGCGTCTGACCTGCTGCTGCTCGGCCATGGAGTGGATGGAGCTGAAGGAGGGGTGTGGTGTGTGTGTTGTTGTGTGTTGTTGTGTGTCGTGTGTGTTGTTGTGTGTCGTGTGTGTGTCGTGTGTGTTGTTGTGTGTCGTTGTGCGTCTGACCTGCTGCTGCTCGGCCATGGAGTGGATGGAGCTGAAGGAGGGGTGTGGGTGTGTGTGCTGGCTGGTCATGGCTGGCTCAGCGTGGGAGAATCCCTGGGCAGTGGAGGAGGAGGAGGAGGAGGAAGAGGAGGAGGACGAAGAGGAGGTGGCAGGACATCCTGAGCTGCTTGCACCTGCAACACAAACGCACAAACGCACAAACGTCAGAACTGCAACACAAACGCACAAACGCACAAACGTCAGAACTGCAACACAAACACACAAAGGTCAGAAGGTGGGACATGATCGTTTGGGTTTAAGATCGTCTGAAAACTCCAGAAAAACAGAAGAAAAGTGATTTAAAGATCTGAAACACGATGGACTCGGTGTTTTAGAAATATTCTGTGACCTGTTGGACTAAAGTTCTCAAATATATTAAAAAAATATGAAACAAAATCGAAACTAGATCCTCATTTTCCACAGGTATCGATCCTAAAACAAGTCCCATCGACAGGACAGAGCAGAACCTTCAGAACCTTTAGAACCTTTAGAACGTTTCCTGAATGTGTTTAGAACCATCTGGATCTGAATCAGAACAAGTATCAAAGCACAGAGACTAGAACACACACGGACCTGGTTTAGTCCTGTTTTTTTCTTGGTTTAGATCTGGTTTAGTCCTGGATTAGACCTGGTTTAGTTTAGTCCTGGTTTAATCCTAGTTTTAGACCTGATTGAGTCCTGTTTTAGTCCTGGTTTAGTCTTGGTTTAGTCCTGGTTTAGATCCAGTTTAGTCCTGGTTTAGTTTAGTCCTGGCTTACTCCTGTTTTGGATCTGGTTTAAACCTGGTTTAGTCCTGGTTTAGACCTGTTTTAGTCCTGTTTTAAACCTGTTTTAAACCTGGTTTAGATCTGGTTTAGTCCTGGTTTAGTCCTGGTTTAGATTAGACCTGGTTTATTGCTGGTTTAGACCTGATTTAGACCCAATTTAGACCAGATTTAGACCTGGTTTAGATCTGTTTTGGACCTGTTTTAGTCCTGGTTTAGACCTGGACTGAGGATCACACAGACATAAAGACTCATGGGAACAGAAAATAAAGTTCAACAATTTAATGTGGAAAATCACAGCAGATCGTCTAAAGAAAGAGGGTTTTTATTTTCATCATGGTATCGGTATCAGTATCGGTATCGGTATCGAGTCTGTTCCATATTATCAAAATCGAGTTTCAAATGTTTGTATCGTGACACCGACCTCTGATAAACAACTTTTCTGGTTTGTCAAATGCTTTTCTCCATGGAGTTTGCTTGTATTTCTTTGTCTGGAATGTTCCACAGTGCGTCATTAAACCTTTCTATCTCTATGGAAACCAAACCAGGCCAAGTTCCAGGTCAGATCTGTGGAGAGGCGACCCCTCACAGTCAGAATGTCTGCTTCTCCTCAGTATTTCTGAGACATGAAACCACCTGTAACTGAATAAATGTCAAGTCGAGTAAAGATTTAAAGTCACACTGTGGAACATTCCAGACAGAGCAGTGACGTCTCCATGGAAACCAGCAAAGTTATCGAAGGAGAATTCAAACAGGTTTCAGTACAAAAAAAACACTTCACGTTTCAAACCGAGACGAGGCTTCGTTTTTGGATTAAGACGAGAAGAAAAAAATTAAACTGTTTTCATGACACAATTTACACACAACTTTTCACACACAAAATGAGGCTCGATACGATACGATATATTTAAATTTGATTCGATACGATTCAGTAAAAATAAAAACTTTGTGCTCCTCATTTACAGCCTCGTGATTGGAGATAAACACGTCCAGATTAAGTGTGTTTAGTTTCGTGCGTGTGAAGAAATCTGATGGATTCTCCTGAACTGGACCTTTTATAAAACTAAAGGAATAAATCTGTCTGCATATTTAATCTTCATCACCTGGGCAGGACATCACTCAGTCATCTCTTATTTCAGGATTTTATCAAATACAGAGTTAAGAACTCCCTAAAAGTGATTCTGAATCTTTTTTTAACACATTTTGTAGCTCTCGAAGTTTCTTGTGTTGCTCTGTTTACAAATTCAAATTCAAATACAAGTTCATGACAGGTGAGGAAATAATTCATATTTCTTCTCAAATCAACGATTACAGAAGCTGCAGGACATGGGAACAAGAAAAAAATCTTCAAAATACGATTTGATAGTAAACTTCTAAACTATTGATGTTACAGACAGAAAAAATGTGAGCGGTTTCGGTAAAATCAGTAAAATGACATAAACAAGGCTCCATATTTGGTCTGGAACATTTATGTTTCTTTTTATTCTGACATGAAGCTGATTTTCTGACTCAGTCCATCACAGTGATGCAAAGGGATGTGCAAAATATCAACATATCGATATATCGCACTGTTTAATGTGATGATACAGGATCGATATCGTGGGCTGCTGTATCGATTTATCACCAAGAGGATTTTTTGGTTTATTTTACTAAATTATTTTGTTACAACAACTCGTTTATGCGACACATTTGACATTTTCATTATTTTCATGATTTAAATGTTTGTGTTTCATTTGAACTTTGATTTAACAAAAACTTTTAGTGTCACAGACATGATTTACACTTTATTTTTTTACTGAACCAAATTGAAACGATTTGAAATATATCGTATCGAATCAAAAGCTCACTGTATCCAGGTATCGTATCGGTAGCTTTTTAATGATACTCCGAGACACCAGGACACTCGAGTCGGGACTTTCAGGCCTGGTGGACGCTCGAGTCGGGACTTTCAGGCCAGGGGGACGCTCGAGTCGGGACTTTCAGGCCAGGGGGACGCTCGAGTCGGGACTTTCAGGCCTGGGGGACGCTCGAGTCGGGATTCGTTTTGTCTCATGGAAACTGAATCTGGTCCAAACCAACGAGTCAAAAAACAAACGATCAGGATCCATATTTTAGATTTTACCTTTCAACTCTGACCCGCCCAAAGACTCACCACAGAACTACAAAACCAAACTGCACTGTGTCACTTTGTCAGTCACCTGCTGGTTTCTATGGATACGTCATTTCTCTACCTGAAATGTTCCACAGTGTGACTTTAAACAGCTCGACTTTACATTTATTCAATCACATTTGGTTTAATAGCTCAAAAATACTTAAAAAAACAAACACTGTGACTGTGAGCGGGGTCGCCTCTCCACAGATCTGACCTGGAACTCGACCCGGTTTGGTCTCCATGACAATAGAAAGGTTTAATGCCACACTGTGGAACATCTCCAAGGAGGAAAGTGTTTTAAAAAAATCACCAGAACAATAAATATGTGTCTCCTCTAAACAAGCAACAAAACCAAAGTCTGTCATGAAATCAAGCAGTGAAATAGACAAAAATCATTCTCTGTGATATATTGATCCAGCAGCTCACGATATCGATACTGAAACCTCAAGTTAAACGAAACGATACACCGATATTTAACATTTCTGCACTCCTCCGGTCAGGAGAACGTCTGTCACAACAACGAAAGAGAAACACATTTTGTACAAAAGTAAAAATCACCAAAATATTGATAAATATCGTATCGTCAAAAGTCTCACCATCAAAAAACTCGAGTATCAAATCACAAGTCTCAAAACTATTTTTAAAAAATACAATAAATCCAGAGAAATGTGTATTTATGAAACTGTTGTTGCGCATAAAAGTTTAAATTTCAGTTTGTAATTGCGTGATATTTGTGACTGAAATTAAATAAATTGATTTGAAATATTTTAAAGTAACTGTCAGTGTTAAATATAATTTCTAGAAAAGGTTAAAGGGGCAGAAAACAGAAGACGACTTTTCTTCTTTCTGCTTCTTTTCATTCATTTCTTGTGTGTTTAAAGTTTGGACACTGTTAACGTGTTTTTATACTTTATGAATGAAATAAACAAAAAATACATCAGTTTTAATGCAGCATCAGCTAAAAAACGAACTAGAACTACACAGACCATGATCCTTTGCTGTTTCCGTGTTATTAAACACTTTTAAATCTTAATTATTTGTATTTTCAAAAGGAAAAAGCAGAATTCACTCACAATTTTTACTGTTAATCTCCACAAAATATTGTAATAAAAGTCGTGTTGTGAGATTTGGATTTTAATATTGAGACTAAACACAGCAGATTTAAACAGAAAATAAAACTGTGGTGATACAGGAAGAAGAGCTCCACTGTGTTTTTAAACTCCATACACCTTCACTAGAATCATCCTGGATCATTTCAGTTCTGGAGTCGCCGATTTCAACTGAACTAAAAGGAAAAAGAGCTGAGAACTTAAAAACTACAGACAGACAGATTAAGAATAAAGATTTACTCAAACCCGTGCGATGCAGAATATTTCCCGAACCATTTTTGTCTCTAAAAAATGCTCATAAATTCAATCTTTTTTTGCGGCAGCGCTTCCGGTTAAACAAGAATCTCGCTCATGTCGGTGGAAAATTAGGAAAATGTTTTGCATTTTCAACCTGAGAAAAAGTCGCTTTATTGTGTAAAATGTTCAGTTTCATGAGTAAAACACTGCACCGAGTCTCTGGGAGGATTTCAAACGGTTTTATCGTCTGAACTGAGTTGATTTTCTGTAAAGTTCTGCCCCGTAGAAAATAATACAACCTGAATATTGTTTGCAGCGTCCAGAGAAACTTCAGGAATCAGGTGAACAGTTCAACAGACCAGGGACCAAGTCGTCTCAAGAGTCTCAAGTCTTTGACCTCAAGTCCGAGTCAAGTCAAGTCCAAGTCAATTCCAAGTCAAGTCCAAGTCGTCTGCTTTGAGCTTCAAGTCATTTCAAGTCTGTAAACCAAAAATACCAAAAACTGTTTAAATTTTTGCAATTTATGTGAATTTTAATCTAAATTGTTCTTAAAAAGTCCTGGTATATTTACATATGAGTATTTGTATAAAAGTTGTAGAAATAATTTTTTTTTACTTTTTAAATGTTTTGACAAGATTTGTGCAAATTACAGAAAAAACTGTAAGAATTCAGATTTAAAAGTGTTATTTTGTCATGAAATTTAAGGATCATGTTGTCTGTAGTTCCCAGTTTTACTGTGTTGTACTGTAAATACTGTATATTACTGTAGTACTTTTGAGTATCACAGTACTTCAGTTTAATCCAAAGTACAAACAGAAGTGGGAGGAACATGTTCCAGTTTGTTCTTGTAAAATTCAGCGTCGCATTTATCG